AAGGGCTCAAGTAGAAAATGTTTTGAGAATGATGATGGCAACAAATGTGCAAATGTGCTTGACACAATGGATGTATGTATGGATTGCGATAAGAGTTGTATGAGTCCCCAATAAAATGATTTTTAAAAAACACCTAAAATAATGAAACAAATAACAAGAAGCTACTTAATAAAGATGAAAACAAATCAATGAAAAGGGAATAGTAAAATAGTTGGTATAATTAAGGCGCCCTGGTGGCCAAGTTCTTTGGACTCTTAACCTGAAGGCCAGCATCTCAAACTCACCAGCTACTCGGCAGGTGATGATGAGGCTTCTGCTCCCATAAAGCGCTGCAGTCTCTGAAACGCACAGGGCAGTTCTCCGCTGCCCTGAGGTTGCAGTGAGTCTGAATCATCTCAGTGGCAGTGTTTGTTTTTGTTTGTAATAAAATGGAGCAGCCTCTAGCTGACTTAATCAGGGAAAATGTTAGAAAGCATAAACACAACGCAAACAGAATAATCATTGAAGTGGACATTTAGACTCAGGAAGGACTAAGTTGGTCAGTTTCCTAGGAGAAACCAATTCTATCAGAAATTAATCCCAGTAGAGGTAAAAAGCTCAAAGAGACCAAATGACTTGGAAACAACTGCTTCATACATACAAATCACAAAGCCATGATATTGTATATAGAAATTCCATGAAACCTTAAAAGAGAAAATAGTCCTAGACTATATAACTTATTGCGGAGCATGGAAACGAACAAAGAACAACAAAACTCATAAAACTTTCAAATGCTTTTAAAAAATATTATTTGTCACTTTATTGGGGGCTCTTACAGATATAACAAACCATAAATCAGTTATATCAAGTGAACGTGACAGATGTTGCCATTATTTTCAAAACATTTTCTTTCTATTTGAGCCCTTTGATATAAGCTCCCCTTTATTTCCTCCCACCCCACCCTACCACCCTCATGAACCCTTAATAAATTATGTATTATTATGTATTTTTTTATAACATCCACTGTATCCTTTTACTACCCACATTTCTGTTATTCATATAACTCCGTCGAGGGGAGTTATATGTTGCTATCAGTTCCCCTTTCCCACCCTGCCTCCCCCTCCCTTCACGTGCTCTCATGGATTCGTTACTCCCATTACTGTTTATGAGGGTTTTTCTCTCCTGGATTCCGTGTGTTTAAAGCTCTTATCTAGCATGATTTGTGAGGTAGACTGGTGCTGTGAGAGTGGGGGAAGGGAGCACTAAAGAACTAGGGTTATGATGTGTGTGCTGTTGGTGCTACACTGCGTAATGCTTTTTATGAAGGAGATATAATACTGACACCTGAACTTGGTAAAGACAGCTTAAAAATTTTTTTCTGGTAACATCACATACTAATACTACCATACCAAATGAAAATTTTAAAAAATAATTTTATTAGGGGCTCATACAACTCTTACCACATTCCATACATACATCAATTGTGTAAAGCACATTTGTACATTCATTGCCCTCATCATTCTCAAAACATTTCCTCTCCACTTAAGCCCCCAACATCAGGTCCTCATTTTCCCCCTCCCTCCCTGCTCCCCCCTCCCTCATGAGCCCTTGATAATTTATAAATTATTTTGTCATATCTGCCCTGTCCGATGTCTCCCTTCACCCACTTTTCGGTTGTCTGTCCCCCAGGGAGGAGGTCACATATAGTTCCTTGTAATTGGCTCCCTCTTTCCAACCCACTCTCCCTCTACCTTCCCTGTTTCGCCACTCACACCACTGGTCCTGTAGGGCTCATCCGCCCTGGGTTCCCTGTATTTCCAGTTCCTATCTGTACCAGTGTACATCCTCTGGTCTAGCCAGACTTGGAAGGTAGGATTCGTGTCATGATAGTGGGAGTGGGGAGGAAACATTTAGGAACTAGAGGAAAATTGTATTTTTCATCGTTGCTACTTCGCACCCTGACTGGCTCGTCTCCTCCCCGAGACCCCTCTGCAAGGGGATCTCCAGTGGCCTACTAATGGGCTTTGGGTCTCCACTCTGCACTCCCCCCATCATTCACTATGGTAAGATTTTTTGTTTTGATGATGCCTTACACCTGATCCCTTTGACACCTCGTGGTTGCATAGGCTGGTGTGCTTCTTCCATATGGGCTTTGTTGCTTCTGAGCTTGATGGTCGCTTGATTACCTTCAAGCCTTTAAGACCCCAGACGCTATACTTTTTGATAGCCGGGCACCATCAGCTTTCTTCGCCACAACCAAATGAAATTTTACCTAGCAGACTCCCAACACCACATTAAGATAATGCAGTCTCACCAAATGATATTTATTCGGAATGCAAGAAATACAGTAATCAACTATTCATAAATACAGAAGAAAACCATGATCATGTTCATGTTGTTGGTGTCATCGAGCCAGCTCCAACTCTTAGTGCCCTTTTGTAGAACAGCGTGAAACATTGCCTGACCTTGTACCACCTCACTATTGTTACTGAACTTGAGCTTACTTTTGCAGTCACTGTCAGTCTATCTCTCTGAGATCTTTCTCTCTTTTGTTGACCCTCTCTCTACCACTGAGCAAGATGCCCTTCTCCATGGAGTGGTTTCTTCTGATACTGTGTCTAATGTACGTGAGACGAAGTCTCACCATTCTCATTTCTAAGAAACATTTTGGCTGTAGTTCTTATAAGACAAATTTATTTGTTCTTCCGGCAGTCCATTGTCCTTTCAATATTCTTTGCCAACAGCAAATTCTGTGGTCACTAATTCTGTGGTCTTATTTATATATTGTCCAGCTTTCACATACATATGAAGCAATTCAAAATACGGCTTGTGGAGTGCACCTTATTCCTCAGAGTGACATCTTTGCTGGTTAACACTTTAAAGAGACTTTGTACAGCAGATTTCCCCAATGTAATACATCTCTGGGTTTCTTGGCTGCTGCTTCCATGAGTATTGATTGTGGATCCAAGTAAAATGCAATCTTGGACAGCTCCCATCTTTTCTGTGTTTATCATGATGAACAGTTGTGAGGATTTTGGTTTTTGTTATATTTGGTTGCAATCCATACTGAGGTTTACAGCCCTTGATTTTCATTAACAAATACCTCAAGCCCTCGTTGTTTTCAGCAAGCAAGGTAGTGTCATCTGCATATCAAAATTGTTGTAAGTATTCTGATCCGGATGCTGTATTATTTGCGTAGTCCAGGTTTGTCCGATTGAGGGGACTCTCCAACGCTTGAAGGGGTCCTTAGGAACAACTCCGTGTCTGTCTATTATAGACAGTGGGGCGCAGGGGCTCCTTGTCCCTGGGTCAGGACTGAGACATTTTCCAATGAGTATGTGTGGGGGGTTACCCCCCCAGTAACGGAACAAAGGTCTACTGGGTGGGGCTTTTGCAGTATACATTTTTCCTGCTAGGTGATCATCATTCCTCCTGGTCAGACTGTTAATCAAGCTTCCTATTTAGAGGATCTGAAAAGATTGCGTAACCATGTGCGACAAAAAGGCCTGATTTGTGGCATACAGGGGACTCCAAATGCACTAAATTGACATTTCACCTTTTTTGAAACAAGAAAACCACTCATACACTGTCCTTGTAAACTGTGTTCAACATCACAACAGTTTCTGTGGCATTTTTCCCAAGCAGGAAACAAAATTTCACAGCCGCACACTGGTCTCTTAAATCGGCCATCACAAAAAAACGAGGTTTGAGCAATATTGCTTTTATGAAAAAAATTCAATGTGACCAGAGAGCCATCCAGGCAACACCACTGGGTGCGCTACAAGGGAGTTGTTCGATGCTCGCCTAGTGGGAAAAATGAGTACCGTGAAAGCTCTGCTCTGCCCAGTGCAATGCCAGGGTTTTTTCGGTCCCTCTCACATAAATATCTATAGATGCTGAGGTGTAGTATCTCCACAGATACTGAAAAAGTCTTTGAGAGACTCTAGAACGGCGGCGGGGAACTTCTGGCCCATGGACCATAAAAGGCCCGCAAAAATCAGTCATACCAGCTAGCATTACGTGACTCACCGAAGAGAAGCAGTTCCAGGCATCACATTAGAGCTGAGTTGATTAAATGCTGAACCGTTACGGCCTGCAATGATTTTATAAATATCCAAATGGCCCTTGGCAGAAAAATGGTCTTGCTCTAGAAGACAGGAATTGCTGGATCCTTTCTTTTTTTGATGGATATTTTTTTGATATGAAAATAATTTAGGTGCGCCGAACTCCCTTTCTGCCTCCGCTGCTGCCATGGCACCTGTGAAAAAGCCTGTGGCGAAGGGAGGGGGGCAAAAAAAAAAGAAGCAGGGTCTGAAGTTCACGCTGGATTGCACCCACCCTGTAGCAGATGGAATCACGGATGCTGCTCATTTTGGGCAGTTTCTTCAGGAAGGAATCAAGGTGAATGGGAAAGCCGGTAATCTCGGGGGAGGAGTCGTGACCATTGAAAGAAGCAAGAACAAGATGACTGTAACCTCCGAGGTGCCTTTTTCCAAAAGGTATTTGAAATATATCACAAAAAGATATTTGAAGAAGAATAATCTACATGATTGGTTGCATGTGGTCGCCAAAAGCAAAGAAAGTTATGAATTACGTTACTTCCAGATTAACCAGGATGAGGAAGAGAAGAAAGATGAGGATTAAATCTTCTCGGGAATATGTTGTATAAGTCCTTTAATAAAACTTGGGAACTAAAAAAGACAAAAAAAAGAAAAGAATTTAGTATTGACCTTCTCTAAAACCCACATCTTGTTTCATATGGTCACTTTACGGGTATGTCTGTTACACACAAGAACGAGATGAGGCTGCCCGTTATTTCATTGCCACTTCATATTATACTGGAGCTAATTAGTTAAATTGGGCGCGAAGACTCAATTAGAAGCAGAAACCTTGTAGTGTGTGGAGCTGCCAGCTTTACCCAAGGCCCCACGTCCTTGGAGAAACCAGCTGGGGTTAGAGCTCTGGCTGTGGTGTGTGTGATTTTACTCTTTACTTGTCTCTGTTGTTTTGAACTCAGAAGTAAATTTGTTCCCGCAGGTTGTTGATGAGCGAGAATTTTTTGAGATCATGCCCGGTTATGCAAAGAACATCATTGTCGGTTTTGCAAGAATGAAAGGAAGGACTGTTGGGGTAGTTGGCAACCAGCCCAAGGTGGCCTCAGGTAGGAGGGATCGAGGGGGGATTTGGGGGCATGTGGTTACCTGGAGATTCTGCTTTTGCTCCAACACGACTTTCTATGACCATATGCAACACCTCAAAATAAACATGCTTATGCATTTATTTTCTTTTTAATATTTAAATGACTCTTATACTTCCTTGCTTTAAGGACTTACGGAAAACTTACTGCCGTAGCTTTCAAGGTCTTTAGTTTTTTCATCCCATTAGTTGATTCACATCAAGCAGAATCGTACAAGTGCTACCACAATCCGTTTACAAACATTCTTTTTCTTCCTGCATTCCTTGGCATCATCTCTCTGTACACCCGTGCGCCCCCAGCTCCTTGCTTGCTACCACTGTACCCACCCCCGTCTCCTCCCCCAAACCCTTATTCTACTTGCTGTCCCTCTGGGTTTAACAATCCTGGGTTTCAGACCGAACACAGAAAACACAGCCCAGCTTTATGCAGTGATCTCCAGTGATGTGACCCCCCTGAGATACATCCTAATACAAACAAACAGAAGCACAGAGAATGTTGAAAACCAGATCAGGTCCAGCGTGCATCAGAGCATAGATCAACTCACAAAGTTTTAACTGTTTAAGTCAGATTTCTGCCTTTGATCTTCTCTACTCCTCTCTAATGCACTCTGTTTGGTCATCACGTTTAGTCTTGATGAAATCTTTGATACACGAGTGTTTTATTTTTAGGACATCCCAATCATCTGTTTTGTCTTCTGCTGTATGTGTGTATTTATTTATGTTTCACAGTGTATTTATGCTATGTATTAGGGTCCCCGAATTTGGTTCTGTTTTTTCATTGATGATCTTTATAATTCTAGGGTTTACATTTAGCTCTTTAATCGGTCTTGTGTTTTTGTATATGGAGTGAGGTATATAGGTCTCGTTTCATTCTTCAAATAGAAATACAATGTTTGCAGCACCATTTGTTGAAGATACTATCTCTTCCCCATTTAATTTGGTTCTGCACTTCCTCAGAATCTTGTTGTCTGTCAATGGATGTATGTATTTTTTTTTAATCATTTTATTGGGGGCTCATACAACTCTTACCACAATCCATACGTACATCCTTTGTATCAAGCACATTTGTACATTTGTTGCCCTCATCATTCTCAGAACATTTTCTTTCTACTTCAGCCCTTGATATCAGCTCCTCATTTTTCCCCTCCCTCCCTGCTCCCCCCTCCCTCGTGAACCCTTGATAACTTATAAATTATTATTATTTTGTCATGTCTTACACCGTCCGACATCTCCTTTCACCCACTTGTCTGTTGTCTGCCCCCCAGGGAGGAGGTTATATGTATGTAGATCCTTGTAATCGGTTTCCCCTTTCTACTTCACCTTCTCTCTACCCTCGAGGTATCACCACTCTCACCACTGGCCGTGAAGGAATCATCTGTCCTGGATTCCCTGTGTTACCAGTTCCTATCTGTACCAGTGTACATCCTCTGGTCTAGCCAGATTTGTAAGGTAGAATTGAGATCATGATAGTGGTGGGGAGGAAGCATTAAAGAACTAGAGGAAAGTTGTATGTTTCATCATTGTTACACTGCACCCTGACTGGCTGGTGTCCTCCCTGAGACCCTTCTGTAAGGGGATGTCCAGTTGTCTACAGATGGGCTTTGGGACCCCACTCCGCACTCCCCCTCATTCACAATGATAGGATTTTTTGTTCTTTGATGCCTGATAACTGATCCCTTCGACACCTCATGATTGCACAGGCTGGTGTGCTTCTTCCATGTGGGCTTTGTTGCTTCTCAGCTGACCTCCTTAAGGAGCCCTAGTGATACTATTGGCGTGGTGCTCTGCTGCTAACTGCAAGATTTGTAGTTCAAATCCACTAGCTGCTCCATGAGAGAAAGGTGAGATCATAAGTTCTATAAAGACTTACAGTTTCAGAACCCCCTCTTTAGAGTCACTATGAATTGGGATTGATTAGGTGGCAGTGAGTATGTGGGTTTTTCCCCCCTTGACCTGCCTAGAAGGCGCTCTGGTGGTGCTATGGGATAGCATGGGGCTGCTCACTGCGAGGAGAGAGGTGGGACCGTCTGCTCCCGTAAAGATGTAGAACCTAGTCAACCCCGCTTAGGGTTGCCATGAGTCGGAATTGCTCCCATGGAAGTGGAGTCCGTTGACACTGGTGCCCTTCAAGACATTGTCCTGAGCCTGTGGGTTCAACCACTCAGTGACTCAAGGTGTTTGATTATGTCTAAGAAGTTTTCCTAACTCTGCCCTCTGTCCATGGATTTGCAGCAAAGCTAAATAGGCGTATGTAAATATCTTTCTCCAGACAAATATATAATCATGGGTATATTCCCACTCTCCTTTCCACATCTGTTTAGCTTTTGTTTCTATATAAGCATCTACTCATAGATTCCAACTGTTTTAGAATGGTGTTTCTATTTTTCTCTGTTGCCTTTCATGCTTGCAAACCTCCCAGTGCTACCATAATTTTTTTCCCAAGCCCCCTTCCTATTGTACATAGTCTTCACCTTCACCTTCACCCATGTTAACATTTGTTTATCCTCTAGACCAGTGGTTCTCAACCTTCTTAATGCCATGACCCTTTAATACAATTCCTCATGTTGTTGTGACCCCCCAACCATAAAATTATTTTCATTGCTCCTTCATAACTGTAATTTTGCTACTGTTATGAATTGGGCGACCCTGTGAAAGGGTTGTTCGACGCCCAAAGGGGTTGCGACCCACAGGTTGAGAACCACTGCTCTAGACCTTGACTTTCCTTCCCACCCCTGACAACCTTCAAAGAATATTTCTTTTAGTTTGAAGACCTTTTCTTGACTTTTTATAACAGTATTGACTTACAATATTTGACTTTTGTAATTGACTGATTTCACTCAGCCTAATGTTCTCCAGGTTCTTCCATGTATGTTAGGAGGTGTTTTACAGATTCATCAGTATTCTTTAACATTTTGCAGTATTCCATTGTATGTATTTATGAACGAACCAAGTTGATTTATCCTTCCCCTGGTGGACATTTAGTTTGTTTCCATAGGTTTGCAACTGTGACGAGCGCTGCAGTGCACATGGGTGGGTATGTGTACGTCCGTTTGTGCCTCAGCTTTCGGGTCTCTATCAGAGAGCGGGATTGCAGTCAGGATAGTGCTAGTCCCGTTTAGAGGACTAGAGCCATGCCACATTCCGCCGTGCTTGCACGGTGCCAGGGGTAAGGCTTTCAGCGTCTCCACGCCCTTGCCCGCATGTGTTGTTTTCTTCTCTGTTGAACTTTGCTCTTAATGCTGGGGTAAGTGATAAGTTGTTTTGATTCGTCTCTCAAATGACTAATGATTGCAAGCATTTCTCTATATGTGTGTTGGCTGCCTGAATGCTCTCTTTGGTAAAATGGTTGTTCATGTCCCCTGCCCATTTTTCATTGGATTATTATTCTGTTTCTTGTTGAAGTATCGAAGTTTTCTATAAAGTTTAGATTGGTTCCTTGTCCAACATGTCGTTGACAAACTTTTTTTTTTCCTGTCTAGGAGTTCTCTTTTTGCTCCATTGCTGATTTTTTTTAAAGATCATTTTATTGGGGGCTCTTACAACTCTTAAACATTCCATACATCAATTGTGTACGTATTTGTACATATGTCGCCACCATTACTTTCTATTTGAGCCTATGGCATCAGCTCATCTTTTCACCCTCCCTCCTGCCCTCCCACCCTCATGACTCCCTGGTAAATTATAAATTATTTTAATTTTCATATCTTACACTGACTGCTGGCTCCCTTCCCCTGTGACCTTCCCCCTATCCTCCTGGTACTGCTACTCCCATTTCTGTTCCTGAGCGGTTTATCTGACGTGGATTTCGTGTGTTGTGAACTCTTATCTGTACCTGTATACATGTTCTGGCCATGGTAGTGGGGGTGGGTGGGTGAGGAAGCCTCAAGGAACCAGAGGAATATTGTGTTTCATCGGCGCTTTACTTCATCCTGGTTGACTCATCTCTTCCTTGCGGTCTTTCTGTGAGAGGATACCCATTGTCTACAGATGGGTTTTGGGTCTCTGCTCTGAGCCCCCTCGTTCTTATCAATATTTTTGTTTATTTGTTTGTCTTGGATCTTCTAATGTCTGTTACCTCATCCCATCAACACCTCATGATCACACAGGCTGGTATGCTTCATTGTGTGGGCTGTGTTGCTTCTCAGCTAGAAGGCCGCTTGTTTATCTTCAAGCCTTTAAGACGCCTATATCTTTTGATAGCCGGGGACCATCAGCTTTCTTCACCAAATTTGCTTATGCACTCACTTTGTCTTCAGCAATTGTGTCGGGAAAGTGAGCATCACAGAATGCCTGATTAATTAGAACAAAGTGTTCTTGCATTGAGGCCCAATGTCCATCTGCTACCTTAATACTTAACATATAAGTATATGTATATAGATCTATTTCCCTATCGTTATATAGAAATATATTTATACACGTACATCCCTGTATTTAGATGTCTATAAATGTCCTTTGCCTCCTAGTTCTTTCCTCTTATTTCCTTTTGCTCTCCTCTTGTCCCACTCTCATGTTTGGCCTTCATTCGTGTTTCAGTTACATTCAGATTAAGCCCCTACCAGGCATCCTATGCCCTTCTTGCCATCGATTGTAGGTCACTGTTGTTCCTTTGTCTCTGGGATTGTTGACACCCCACTTCCTTTTTCCCTTCTCCCCCTCTCCCATGTCCTCCTCCCCACCCCCTGCCCCGAACTACTGGTCCAGTTGCTTTCTCCTCTGGGTTGTTTACCTTGCCTATCTTATGTAGATAGACTCGCAGAGATGATAATAAGTGTAAAAACAAGACAAAGCCAAACAAAACAAAAACCCCCAAAATAACAAAAATAAAAACCAATGACAAGAAAAGAAAAGCCTATAAATAGTTCCAGGTCTGTCTGTTGATCTTTAGGAGTGTTTTCCAGTTGAATCTGATGGGGTGCCATGCTCTGGCCCCAAAGTCTAATTTTGGTATTCCCCGGGGACTTCATT